GAGAGTAATAATTTTTTTTTTACAAAGTATTTCTGGTATTAAAACCTATTTTTACACTTTCATAGTGTGTTGACCCCAGTTTGGGGCTTATCTATTTGCCTATAGATGGGACCCTAACAGGTGCTACCTCCCCAAGTCAGGGTGGAACTGGGAAGACCAGCAATTAAGAGTTGGTTCCACGCTCCTCCCGATCAGAGGCTTTGCTGTTGGGTGTTGTTTATCGTCTTACCATAGACGCCAATGTAGTTTATCGTCTTACCATAGATGCCAATGTAGTTTATCGTCTTACCTAGGAGGAGGGGGACACTGATAGATTGATGTTACGCGGAAATCCAACGGAAGCGTTACAAACACTATCGACAATCGGACAACTAAAAGAGGAAACTGCAGAAAAATACAAATGGAAGGCTGTCTGCTTGTTTAACAAATCTTTTCAGTTAGAGACACGGGAATTGAGAAACAATTAATTAGTATATTTTGACCCAGGAATCCTAGAAGCAGCTGCCCTGATAACGATGCCAGAAATCTCAATGCTATCCCAGTTCAGCTTCCACGAAGTGATGAAAGTCGATCAACATGGGATGAGGATTAATGTACAGGCAGTAAATAAAAATAGAAATCAGGGTAGGAAGAAGACCAGAAGGGACCATAGAACGAGACTAGTGGTACTGCTAAGAAATAGAAAAAACAAAGCCCTTCTCGAATAGTTTTAGACCGTTCTCCTTTTCGAATAGTTTCAAACCGTCCACCCGGTCTAATAATTTCGAACTGTCCGCCTTTTCGAATAGTTTCAAACCGTCCACCTGGTCTAATAATTTCGAACTGTCCGCCTTTTCGAATAGTTTCAAACCGTCCACCTGGTCTAATAATTTCGAACTGTCCGCTCTTTCGAATAGTTTCAAACCGTCCAACTGGTCGAATAGTTTCAGGCCGTCCGCTTAATCGAATACGTTCGGACCGTCCGCTTGGTCGAATAGTTTCGGACCGTGCAACAAACATACGTTGGAGATGTGGTTATAAGGAGCACATGCAAAGAAACCGTAGTGTTCAGGTACGAGCCGTCTGTAAGAAAGTCACAGGACTAACAGGTGAATTGCCGGCGCTAAAAATATGTGCTTTTTGAAATCTTGGTCTCCCTGTGAATATTGATGGCTATAAAGATCTGTTCGATACGAAAGCAGAAATTTCAATAATACATAAATAAGTGTTTGAATTTATGAAAGATAAGCCTGCTCTTTAAGATAGAAAAATAAATTTACAAACAGCTAACGGTATGCACTTGAATGTCGACAGATATGTAACTATAGATTTTGAAGTCGGTCGACAAACAGAAGAGAAATATTATCCTAGGTCGTGACTAGTTGCAGGGAAATGGTGCAAGTATTTACTACAAATTAGGAGCATTACGCCTCAAAAATACATATGTGTCTTTAAAAAAGGATTACCTTAAATAAGAGATATAGCTCGGTTGACCATCAATACCCAATTAAAGCCTCAATCAGCCGCTTTATATTTAGTTAGAATTAGGAATAAATTGATAAAAGAACAACCACATTACAGAGAACAAATAAATTCTGGATACCTAAGTAATTTTTTCAGGCATTTCAGTTACAGATGGTTAGTATGGACGAAAATATAGCAGTCGGCAAATTTCATTCAGTTGTAAAGGCCGGCTGTATGCGAGGGAAGAAAAGTTAGGTGAGGACGCGAACTGTCTAAACGGCCTTTGCCGTCCTTGCGTGGTACGGGCGAGCGTATGAGCGGGCGATCCACTGGTATGGCTGCTAAGGTCCACTGTCTTATAGAGACATCCTTCTTTGTCCTATAAACTTTCGTCTAAAAAGTCATTCATCAAAAACCCAGGATCTTATTCCACTCAGATGACCTTCGTTGTCTGGTTCTATCCTTGGTTACTGGGAGATCCACTCCAATTAGCTGGCCTTTTTTGTCAAGTTGATAATTGTTAAAACGATTTCTGTAACGTTTTGCAGATGTGTTCTTAACAAGCCGAAATAAGAAAAAAAAATTAACAATATTTTTTCTTTAAGAAGTGTGCGGATGTAGGTTTACTTCTCCTAGACTGGTTGCCAGCCAAGCGTCCACACAGACCTGCTGTTTGCTCATAACCTGGGGGTAGGGGGAGACATGGATTTATACTTTTCTCAAGGGATTCATACCTTTGACGTAAATGAATATACTGATCTCGGTCGGAATTCGAACTCGGCTCTACCGGTTACGTCAATCCGAGTAGTATCTCTTTCTCCACCGTGTCTCCCAGGGAACTGCATAAAATAATTAATATTCTAACATATTGATCAGTCTGTTTTTAATATCTGTACACGTTTCCAGTCATTTGGGAAGATGACTCATCGACGATCAATTATGCAGCAAGACTTAAACTTATTAACACAAAGAAAGATCCATAGTCGTCAAACGGCATGACTAGAAAATGTAAGTAAGATAATTTTGCAAAGACGGTTAAGGCTAAAGAAAGTAATTAACCTTGACTGACGCTGACTAGATGTCTCAATCATGTCGATATCATCATTATTTATATTGTAGAGAAATAATATGAATTATTAGAAGGAATTGACCGTCAGTGACTCTGGGTCAGAAGATTAAGGATGAGAAGAAGAGGAAGAATGGGAAAAGAGGCAAAAGATGATTGTCCAGGATTTTGAAGGAAGAGAAGAATCCTCGGAAGAATTCTAAAAATGGGAATCGTGAAGGTAAAAATTTCCTTCTTCCATTTTTATTCTTTTCTTCTTTCTTACTTTCTTTTTATGTTTTCTTTTCAAATCATTTAACCCATTGTTCTCATCCTTTTTCTTTTATCTTCCATCTTCTCTTCTTTCATCTTACGTTTTTCTTCCCATTTTCCATTTCTTCCTTTTTCTCTTCCTTCATCTTCTCATCCCATTCTTCCCATTCTATCTTCTTTTCGCTTTTTTCTTATCCTTTCCCAATTCTTCCATATTTTTCCCATTTTATTCTTTTTTATTTTCCTATCACAATCTTTCATCCTTCCTTCCTCTTCTTCGTTCGTTCGTTCGTTCGTTCGTTCGTCTCTTCCTTCATTTCTTTCCTTCCTTCCTTCCCATGTTTCCTTCCTTTCTTCCTTTTTGTTTCTTTCTTTTCCTTTTCTAATCCTTTGAATAAATTTCCTTCCTTCCTTTCTTCGTTCCTTCATTCGTTCGTTCGTTCCTTTCTTTCTTCCTTCCTAACTTTTTCCTTTGTTTCTTTTTTGTTTCTTTCTTTTCCTTTTCCAATCGTAAACCATTTCTTTTTATACTTTTTTTACAATTATAATCCTCTTCTTTTCTTTCTTTCTTTCTTTTCTTTCTTTCGAATCAAAAATCCTTTCCTTTTTCATTTGTTTCTTTCTTTTTCTTTTCTTTTGTTTTCCCCTTTCCAATTCGCGATCCATTTTCCCATTTTTTCTCATTTTTCTTCTTCCTTCCTCTCTTTTTCTTTTTTTCTTTTCTTTCTTTCTTTTCTTTTCTTTCTTTCTTTCACTCATATTCTTTTTCGCTTTTCCTTTCATTCCTTTGGTAATTTCTTTTCTAATTAAATGTTTTATTCCCTACATATTTTTTTTTTTTCTCCATTTCTTTTTTTTGTTTTGCTTCGACGCCTTTCGTCTTCTTTGATGATAGACAAGATTATTTGTTAATTTTAGCTAAGTCTGTTACAAGGCAACTATTATGCTGGCATTGGTGATACCTTACAGGAGAGAGGAATGTTTTTTGTTCAAGCATTAATGGAAAGGTAGACAATAATCTATAGGCATCTTTTCTTAACATACCTAAAGACCTTGTATAAATTAATGGCAGGACAAGATCCAACGAGAAAAAAGAAATATTGCTTAGAGCTACAACGGATAGAAACCATGATCGTCGACGTCCTGAAAGAATACGGAAGATAAAATTAATGGATACCTCAGCAAATATAGCTGTCACGTGACTGACTCTATTTTCATATTTCAAATATTCCTGGCTTATATAACGAAATATAATATAAGGATGGTTAAACATGGAATAGTCCGCAGTAGGGTGGTTCATCTTCAACACTCTTCCCTACTTCTTCTTCTCGAAAATATTAACTTCTCATTTTCTCATCCTTTTAGTCTTCTCATTTCAAATAGTCATGGATGCTTCCTCTTCTTCCATCAACGTCAAATTTTCTCTTCAGAATGGACTTCCTCAGGTTCTCTTCCTGCCTCTTCTCTTCCTTCATCTTCTTTCATCCTTCTTCTTTTTCCATTCAAGTCCTCAAAAGATGAGAAGAAAAGGAAGAATGAGAAGAATCCTTCTTCTCTCCTTCAGATGAAGTTCGCATCTTTTGTTCAATCTTCTCATCCTCCTAGGTATCTTCTTCCCAAGAATACGAAGAATGGAGAAGGATCGAAGAGACTATTTTAAGAGAAAATGAAGGAAGATTTTCAAGGATGAGTGAAGAGGAAACCAAACTGGGAAGAAGAGGAAGGATGATAATATTTTCGTTATAAGAGAAGAATATTTGAAATATGAAAATAGAAGAGGAAGAAGAGAAGAAGGATGAGAAGAAGGAAGAGAAGAAGGATGAGAAGAAGAAGAATTGAAGAAGAAGAGGAAGGAGATGAAGAGGAAGAATGGGAAGAAGAGAAGGATGAGAAGATGAAGGAAGAGAAGAAGGATGAGAAGAAGAGGAAGAATGGGAAGAAGATGAGAAGAGGAAGGAAGAGAAGAAGGAAGAGAAGAAGAGGAAGAATGAGAAGAAGAGGAAGGATGAGAAGATGAAGGAAGAGAAGAAGGAAGAGAAGAAGAGGAAGAATGAGAAGAAGAGGAAGGATGAGAAGATGAAGGAAGAGAAGAAGGATGAGAAGAAGAGGAAGAATGGGAAGAAGATGAAGGATGAGAAGATGAAGGAAGAGAAGAAGGAAGAGAAGAAGAGGAAGAATGAGAAGATGAAGGAAGAGAAGATGAAGGAAGAGAAGAAGGAATGAGAAGAAGATGAAGAAACTAAAGAAGAGGAAGGAAGAAGATGAAGGAAGAGAAGAAGGAATCTAGAGAAGAAGAGGAAGAAAAGAGAAGAAGAGGAAGAAGAGAAGAGAAGAAGAGAAGAAGAAGAAAGAAGAGAAGAAGGATGAGAAGAAGAGGAAGAATGAGAAGATGAAGGAAGAGAAGAAGGATGAGAAGAAGAGGAAGAATGAGAAGAAGATGAAGGAAGAGAAGAAGGAAGAGAAGAAGAGGAAGAATGGGAAGAAGAGGAAGGATGAGAAGATGAAGGAAGAGAAGAAGGAAGAGAAGAAGAGGAAGAATGGGAAGAAGAGAAGGATGAGAAGATGAAGGAAAGAAGAAGAAGAAGGAAGAGGAAAGAATGAGAAGAAGAGGAAGAATGAGAAGATGAAGGAAGAGAAGAAGGAAGAGAAGAAGGGAAGAAGAAAAGAAAGGATGAGAAGATGAAGGAAGAGGAAGAAGGAAAGAAGAAGAAAGAATAATTAGAAGAGGAAGGATGAGAAGATGAAGGAAGAGAAGAAGGAAGAAAGAAGAGGAAGAATGGGAAGAAGAGGAAGGATGAGAAGATGAAGGAAGAGAAGAAGAAAGAAGAAGAAGAGGAAGGATGAGAAGAAGAGGAAGGATGAGAAGAAGAGGAAGAAAGAAGGATGAGAAGAAGAGAAGAATGAGAAGAGAAGGAAGAGAAAAGGATGGAAGAAGAGGAAGAATGGGAAGAAGATGAAGGAAAAGAAGATGAAGGAAGAAGAAGAAGAAGAGAAGAAGAGAAGAATGAGAAGATGAAGGAAGAGAAGAAGGATGACTTGAAGAGAGGAAGAAGAGGAAGGAAGAAAGAAGAAGAAAGAAGAAAAACAAAGAAGAAGAAGAGGATGAATGGGAAGAAGAGGAAGGATGAGAAGATGAAGGAAGAGAAGAAGGAAGAGAAGAAGAGGAAGAATGAAGAAGAGGAAGAAAAGAAGAAGAAGAAGAGAAGAAGAAGAAGAAGATGAAGGAAGAAGAAGAATGAAGAAGAGGAAGAATGAGAAGAAGATGAAGGAAGAGAAGAAGGAAAAGAAGAAGAGGAGGAATGGGAAGAAGAGGAAGGATGAGAAGATGAAGGAAGAGAAGAAGGAAGAGAAGAAGAGGAAGAATGGGAAGAAGATGAAGGAAGAGAAGAAGAAAGAATGAGAAGAGAAAGGAAGAGGAAGAAGATGAGAAGAAGAGGAAGAATGAGAAGATGAAGGAAGAGAAGAAAGAAGAGAAGAAGAAGAAGAAGAGAAGAAGAATGAAAGAAGAAGAAAAGGAAGAGAAGAAGGAAGAAGAGAAGAAGAGGAAGAATGAGAAGAAGAGGAAGGATTGAAGAAGATGAAGGAAGAGAAGAAGAGAAGAAGAAGAGGAAGAATGAAGAAAGGAAGAAGGAAGAAAGATGAAAGGAAGAAGAATATATAAGAAGAAAGAATGAAGAAGAGGAAGAAGAAGCAAGAATGAAGAAGAGAAGAAGAAAGAGAAGAAGAAGAAGAGGAAGAATGAGAAGATGAAGGAAGAGAAGAAGGATGAGAAGAAGAGGAAGAATGAGAAGAAGATGAAGGAAGAGAAGAAGGAAGAGAGGAAGAGGAAGAATGGGAAGAAGAGGAAGGATGAGAAGAAAAGGAAAGAAGAAGAAGAAGAAGAAAGAATGGGAAGAAGAAGAGGATGAGAAGATGAAGAAAGAAGAAGGAAGAGAAGAAGAAGAATGGGAAGAATGAGAAGAAGAAGAGAAGGAAGAATGAAGATGAAGGAAGAGAAGAAGAAGAAAAGAAGAGGAAGAATGAGAAGAAATGAAGGATGAGAAGATGAAGGAAGAGAAGAAGAAGAAGGAAGAGGAAGAATGGGAAGAAGAGGAAGGATGAGAAGATGGAAGAGAAGAAGGATGAGAAGAAAAGGAAGAATGAGAAGAAGAGGAAGGATGAGAAGATGAAGGAAGAGAAGAAGGAAGAGAAGAAGAGGAAGAATGGGAAGAAGAGGAAGAATGGGAAGAAGAGGAAAGGATGAGAAGAAGAAGAAGAAGAGAAGAAGATGAAGAAGAAAGAAGAAGAAGAATGAAGAAGAAGAAGAATGAGAAGAAGATGAAGGAAGAGAAGAAGGAAGAGAAGAAGAGGAAGAATGGGAAGAAGAGGAAGGATGAGAAGATGAAGGAAGAGAAGAAGGAAGAGAAGAAGAGAAGAATGGGAAGAAGAGGAAGGATGAGAAGATGAAGGAAGAGAAGATGGAAGAAAGAAGAATGAGAAGAAGAGGAAGGATGAGAAGATGAAGGAAGAGAAGAAGGAAAGAAGAAGAGGAAGAATGAGGAAGAAGAGGAAGGATGAGAAGATGAAGGAAGAGAAGAAGGAAGAGAAGAAGAAGAAGAAAGGGAAGAAGAGGAAGAATGATGAGAAGATGAAGGAAGAGAAGAAGGAAGAGAAGAAGAAGGAAGAAGAGGAAGAATGAAGAAGAAGAGGAAGAATGAGAAGATGAAGGGAAGAGAAGAAGGAAGAGAAGAAGAAGAAGAATGGGACCAAGAAGAGGAAGGATGAGAAGATGAAGGAAGAAGAAGAAGAAGAGAAGAAGAGGAAGAATGAGAAGAAGAGGAAGGATGAGAAGAGAAGGAAGAGAAGAAGGATGAGAAGAAGAATGAATGAGGAAAATGGGGAGATGAAAGAGAGAAGAAGGATGAGAAGAAGAAGGAAGGATGAGAAGAAGAAGAAGGATGAAAGATGAAGAAGAGGAGAAGAAGGAGAAGAAGAAGAAGAGGAAGAATGGGAAGAGAGAAAGAAGAAAGAAGAGGAAGGATGAGAAGATGAAGGAAGAGAAGAAGGAGAAGAAGAGGAAGAATGGGAAGAAGAGGAAGGATGAGAATATGAAGGAAGAGAAGAAGGAAGAGAAGAAGAGGAAATGAATGGAGAGAAGGGAAGGATGAGAAGATGAAGAAGAAAGAAGGATGAAGAAGAAAGAGAAGAAGAAAGAATAGAAGAGATGAAGGAAGAAATGAAGGAAGAGAATGGAAGAAGAAGAAGGAAGAGAATGGAAAGAAGAGGAAGGAATGAGAAGATGAAGGAAGAGAAGAAGGAAGAGAAGAAGAGGAAGAAAAGAAGAGGAAGGATGAGAAGATGAAGGAAGAAGAAGAAGAGAAGAAGAAGAAGAATCAGAAGAAGAGGAAGGATGAGAAGAAGATGAAGGAAGAAGAAGAAGGAAGAGAAGAAGAGGAAGAATGAGGAAGAAGAAGAAAGATGAGAACATGAAGGAAGGAAGAAAGAAGAGAAGAAGAGGAAGAATGAGAAGAAGAGGAAGGATGAAAGATGAAGAAGAGAAGAAGGAAGAGAAGAAGAGGAAGAATGAGAAGAAGAGGAAGGATGAGAAGATTAAGGAAGAGAAGAAGAAAGAATGAAGAAGAAGAGGAAGAATGAGAAGAAGAGGAAGGAAAAGAAGATGAAAAAAGGAAGAAGGAGGAAGAGAAGAAGAAAAGAATGAGAAGAACTGAGAAGAATTCTTTTCCTGAAAGATGAAGGAAGAGAAGAAGGAAGAGAAGAAGAGGAAGAATGGAAGAAGAGGAAGGATGAGAAGATGAAGGAAGAGAAGAAGGAAGAGAAGAAAGAAGAGAAGAATGGGAAGAAGAGGAAAGATGAGAAGATGAAGGAAGAGAAGAAGGAAGAAAGAAGAGGAAGAATGAGAAAGAAGAGGAAGGATGAGAAGATGAAGGAAGAGAAGAAGAAGAGAAGAAGAGGAAGAATGGGAAGAAAGAGGAAGGAAGAGAAGATGAAGGAAGAGAAGAGAAGGAAGAAGAAGAAGAGGAAGAAGAAGAAGAGGAAGGATGAAAAGAAGAAAGGAAGGAAGAAGAAGAAAAAAATAAGAAGAATGAGAAGAAGAGAAAGAATGAAGGATGAGGAAGGATGAAAGATGAAGAAGAAGAAGGAAGAAGAAGAGGAAGAATGGGAAGAAGATGAAGGATGAGAAGATGAAGGAAGAAGAAGAAGGAAGAGAAGAAGAAGAAGAATGGAAGAGAAGAAGAAGAAGAGAAGAAGGATGAGAAGAAGAGGAAGGATGAGAAGATGAAGGAAGAGAAGAAGGATGAGAAGAAGAGGAAGAATGGGAAGAAGAGGAAGGATGAGAAGATGAAGGAAGAGAAGAAGGAAGAGAAGAAGAGGAAGAATGGGAAGAAGAGGAAGGATGAGAAGATGAAGGAAGAGAAGAAGGATGAGAAGAAGAGGAAGAATGAGAAGAAGAGGAAGGATGAGAAGATGAAGGAAGAGAAGAAGGATGAGAAGAAGAATGAGAAGAAGAGGAAGGATGAGAAGATGAAGGAAGAGAAGAAGGAAGAGAAGAAGAGGAAGAATGAGAAGAAGAAAGGAAGAGAAGAAGAAGATGAGAAGAAGAGGAAGAATGAAAAGAAGAAGGAAGAATGAAGAAGGAAGGATGAGAAGAGGAAGAAAGAGAAGAAGGAAGGAAGAAGAAGGAATAGAAGAAGAGGAAGAATGGGAAGAAGAGGAAGGATGAGAAGATGAAGGAAGAGAAGAAGGAAGAGAAGAAGAGGAAGAATGAGAAGAAGAGGAAGGATGAGAAGATGAAGGAAGAGAAGAAGGAAGAGAAGAAGAGGAAGAATGAGAAGAAGAGGAAGGATGAGAAGATGAAGGAAGAGAAGAAGGAAGAGAAGAAGAGGAAGAATGAGAAGAAGAGGAAGGATGAGAAGATGAAGGAAGAGAAGAAGGATGAGAAGAAGAGGAAGAATGAGAAGATGAAGGAAGAGAAGAAGGATGAGAAGAAGAGGAAGAATGAGAAGAAGAGGAAGATGAGAAGAAGAAGGAAGGAAGAGGAAGAAAAGGAAGAAGAGAAGAAGAAGAAGAATGAGAAGAAGATGAAGAAGAGAAGAAGGAAGGATGAAGAAAAGGGAAGAATGAAAGAAGATGAAGAATGAGAAAAAGATGAAGGGAAGAAGAAGAAGGAAGAGAAGAAGGAAGAATGAAAGAAAAGAAGAATGAGAAGAAAGAGGAAGAATGGGAAGAAGAGGAAGGATGAGGAGATGAAGGAAGAGAAGAAGGATGAAGAAGAAGAATGAGAAGAAGAGGAAGGATGAGAAGATGAAGGAAGAGAAGAAGGAAGAAGAAGAAGAGGGAAGAATGAAAGAAGAGGAAGGATGAGAAGATGAAGGAAGAAAGAAGGAAGAGAAGAAGAGGAAGAATGAGAAGAAGAGGGAAGGATGAGAAATGAAGGAAGATGAGAAGAAAAGAAGAAGAATGAGAATGAGAAGAATGAGGAAGAAGATGAAGAAGAGAAGAAGGAAGATAGAAGAAAAGGAAGAATGAGAAGAGGAAGAATGAGAAGAAGATGAAGGAAGAGAAGAAGGAAGAGAAGAAAAGGAAGAATGAGAAGAAGAGGAAGAATGAGGAAGGATGAGAAGATGAAGGAAGAGAAGAAGGATGAGAAGAAGAGGAAGAATGAGAAGAAGAGGAAGGGTCAGAATATGAAGGAAGAGAAGAAGGATGAGAAGAAGAGGAAGAATGAGAAGAAGAGGAAGGATGAGAAGATGAAGGAAGAGAAGAAGGATGAGAAGAAGAAGGAGAATGAGAAAAAGACTGAATAAAAAAGAAAGTAGCACTAAAATGTAAGAAATACATTATAAAATGAAAGGAAGAAAAACATCGAAAATAAGAAGACGAAGAACAACAACAAAAAGAAAAGATGAAGAAGAAGACGAAGAAGAAGAAGACTGAATGAAAAATGATAGATCTGAAAGAAAAGAGAGAACGAAATGAAAATATAAATGATAATGAAAAAAATGAAAAGAAGACTAAAATGATGTCACAACTGAAGAAAGAAAGAATGTCCGAAATTAAAAATAATGTAAAGAAAAAGAAGAATATTAAGAAATGAACCTAATTGAATATATATATATATATATATATATATATATATATATATATATATATATATATATATATATATAATGAAAAAGAGAAAATAAGTATTGAAGTTAGTAAGAAAGAAAGAAATTAAAAATATATGATAGAATGAAGAAAGCAACGTAAGAAGTTAAGGGTGAAGAAAGACAGAAACAAAGAAAGTTTGAATAAAAACGTAAAAGGAAAATAGCGAAAATGAAAGAAAATATGAAAAGAAGAATATTAGATGAAGAAAAAGAAGAGTTGTTAAGAAAGAAAGAAAGAAAGAAAGAAAAGGAATCAAAATCTAAAATATCAGAGAAGGCAATAAATAGCAGCATGTGGCCTGAGCAAGAACATAAGTGAGTGACTGCAGTAAGATTAATAGGAGTTAATGTGAACGCCAAGATTGAGATGTAGGTTAAAGAGTGAGGCACATCGGGAGGCAGCCAGGAAGAGAGAAAAAATAGAAGTATGATGTAAGAGAAGAGGTAAAGTGGGTTGCTGTTTGTGTTGAATCGGTTTGCGTTAGACGAGTAAAATGATTCTTTACATCGGCCTCTTGTTGTTGCTGCTCTGCACTTATTTGCAATATAGACTATCGAGTTGGCCACATTTGCAATTACCCCCTTTCTTTCGTTCTTTCATCCTCTTACTTCCTCTTTCTCTCTTTACTGTCAACGAGTAACCTCTCTCTCACTCTCACTCCTTTTATCTCATTTAACATCTCTTTCATGGATTCTTTCTCTTATGCGAATTGACATCGTCTAACCTGAGTTTAGTACGGCACAAAGCCAGATGGCGGGAACTGGGAGAAAGGGCGATTGTAGCATGTCAGACTTCCATAGTTTAACTTCAAAACAATGTTTGAAATCTGGGCTTGAATACCAAATTCTGGCCTTGATTAAAAACTTGATATATATATATATATATATATATATATATATATATATATATATATATATATATATATATCATTTTTACATATATATATATATATATATATATATATATATATATATATATATATATATAATCCGTATCACCCTAAGCAAGGTAGTAATGGCACTAAAACACAAGGGGTTACAGGGAGGGATGAATTTGGAACAGAAACAATAATGATGAACAGAAAGAAAAGCGAGTAATCAGGAGGACAGTAGATTGACATTGCATTTACATTTTTGCAGATTATAGTTGGCTGGAATGCATGGAACCAAAGAAGAGTTCTATAAGCGAGAATTGCGAGAGAAGAAACTCTTAGCATAGAACTTTGGCTACATCTACCCAGCTTAACTGTAAATTGATGACATTTCGACGCCAGTCTAATGTTGTGCTTCAATTCAAAAATGCTAGGTACTATACCGAACACCACATCTGAACTTATAGAGTGGAAACCCTACAATAATGGGAAAGTAACTGGAGCATAGCCGCCAGATCAGGACCAATAATATTGCTGATTCTTCTTTTAATTTCATCAAGAAGCTCATGGTAAATACCAGGTGAACCTGACCATATGTAGCAACAATATTCTAAGCATGGAGGATTTGTAGACTTATAAATATATAAGATAGATTGTGGAGAGGAAAATTGTCTCGCTCGACGCTGTCAACCGATTTCTTAGCAGCTGACCTAACAATGATTTCAATATAGTCTTTCTACTTCATATCAGCAGAGAACTTGATCCCGAGAAAGCGTAACGAATCACCTCCCGGGAGGTTAGCATCAGCCATACTGATGGAAGACAGCTTGGTGTCTTTCGGATGACTAATCGAGAGAAATTTAGTTTTGGAGGCATTAAAATTAGCAAGACATCAGCGTAGATACCAAGTTGAGAGCTGATGTCATCAGGGAGGTCATTAATAAAAATTAAAAGCAGAGTAGGACCAAGGATGGAGCTTTGTGGTGCACCTGTGTTAGTACGAAATGATCTAGACGAGTGGCCATTCAGGATAACATTCATTTCACAATTTGATAGAAAACACTGGATTAGTTCAAAAAAGTGTCCGGGGACACCGTGATTATTCAGCTAGTGGAGATGACCTGAATGCCAGACCCCGTCAGAGGTTTTTGAGATGCCAATTGCTACAGTCTGGACTTTACTGTCTTTATCTAGAACATGATAGATTCTTTCTGCAATTATCGTCACTACATCAACAGTTGACCTGGACAAACTAAAGCCATATTACTTGTCAGATAAAAGGCCCTACGATGAGAGATGATGAATCAATTTAGCATTTATTATGACCTCTAAGTGTTTCCCAAACAGAGTAAAGGATGATAACACCTCATATTGATTGAATAGGGGACGAATAGAGACCTTAAACTTATTTAATGTCGTATTACGGAGCGGCTAGTAGTCGAGGGATCCAAGAGGCTATGCGTTTCCCCATTCTCACGGCAAACAGAAAATTTAATTCTTCGAGAACTCGATTACATTTATTTTGAGCAGCAACGGATAGGCGCCTGTTGTGAAGAGAGCCTTCACGTTGGTACAGCCGAAAATAGTGGTTCCAGTGTACTATAGGAATGCCGGTGTGAACCATGGAGATTGAGGTTTCAACTGGTATTTTCGAGAAGGGATGAAAGCATCCATGCCGTCTTTGACCCAAGACAAAACCTCAATGGCACAATTTTCAAGACCAAGGGGCGTCACAGAGAACACGGAGTGAATCTAAATCAGCATGCTGGTAACGCAAAAAGGGCTTGAGGATAGGGGGTTTCCTGTTTAATAGGAGGACTGGAACGAAATATCAATAGCCACCTTAGAATAGGAAGAATTACCAAGAGGGCAGTGTTTCGAATCTTGGCAAGAGCGAGGGAAGGAGGTAAGAAATAAATCTAGTAGAGAAGCATATTGCTCGGTTTTCCTAGGGAAACGTATTAGGGAAGTCCACGATTTGGCCCAGGGATTGGGCAATGGAAAAATGAATGCCGGAACATCGGCAACATCAGTACCTTTAGAATGTTTCAGCCACGTTTCGCGATGCGCATTAAAGTCACCGAAGATGAAGATGTTTGCAGGTGGATGGAAAGAAAGTGCCTTTCCTATACTGTCAGCTCAAATATACTGCAGGCTTGGGGAGCGATAAAGGAAAAAACAGATAGGTGATAGAGTTTAGTAGGGAAAGATGGAAGCACATAAAAGAGTAGTCAGCAAACTCGAGAGACAATTCTCTGAGCATCGGAAGATTATCCCGGATGTAGACACCAATGCCATGCATGTGAATCCTGCAATCTTTTCGCCAAGGGGAAACCAAGAATTCATTGGTCGCAATGGAAGAATATTAGTCAGTTTCAGGGAGAGTAATGATATCTGGCGACCATTCCAAGAGGAAAGATTCTACGCTGCTGAAGTTACAACGGACACCACGAATATTAGGGAATGAAAGGAAGACGGCGGTGGGTAGGTGTTATTTATTTACTGGTTTAATTGTATTTCTATTGTTTTTGTTGTGTTTTCTACGAGATTCGTTTTGAGTTGTGAGGGAAAAGACCACGGTGAGTGTCACTATCTGCCGACAATGGCAATATAAAATTATTATATATATATATATATATATATATATATATATATATATATATATATATATATATATATATATATATATATATATATATATATATATATAAAGCTTAAACATTAATATTCCATGGTCATAATTTATTCCATTGGAATACGATCCAATTCACCAGACCTACAAATTCAAAAAGAAAACAGAAAAAAACAACTCCGGAAATAAAAATAGAATTTAGAGAGAGTAAGTATGAGAGTGTGGGACGAATGTTAGAGCTAAAGAGAGGGGTAAAAGACGAGAGAAGGTGGGAGTTTAAAACTTAACTGAGAGAAGTTTTAGAGAGGTGAGTTGAAGAGGTTTAAGTGAGAGAAATATGAATGTTGTCGGATGTCAAATACTTTAAAGATGTAACCGTAAAGGATACATTTCGTGGTGGCATACACACACAATAGACGATCTAATCTTAAAGATCAGAAGAAGAGGGAGGGAGAGGAAAAGAAAAGAAAAAGGGGGTGGGGGAGAGATGGGACGGGGGAATAAACCCACTATGATGCAATTCTGTTAAGGAGAGAGAACAAGAAAAGAACAAGAATTAAATAGATAGAAGATAACGATTGACATTGAATTTAAATTTTTGAAGATCAAAGTTGACTAGAAAGCAAGAAGCCAGAAGAAATTTATACAACTGAGAAGCATAGAACTTACGGTTACATCTAGCCATTTCATATTTATGTACTAATCGATTAAATTCCTTAAGCCTATGTACCATATCGGAAAATTTATCAGAACAATGACCACGAAAGTATTTATAGAAAAGTGGTAGGAAAGCACATTACAGCAGCCGGAAAGTGACTGAAGTCGAGATGCCAGGTCAGTACAAATAATATTGCAGATAATCGCTAAATACTGTATATAGCAGAAGCACCAGACCATGCAGAGATGTGTGTATAGATGTGCGAATCTAACATGCCTCAAGGGCTAGCTCGCTTGTTTCAAAGAAAAGTTTGCTTGTTCATTGACAAAATCGTCACTGGATGATCAAATGATTGGCATGTCTGGTGGTTGAGATAGTTGAACTTTTCTACAAGTACGTGTAATCAGAGTTCGAACATTGACAAAATAAGTGATTTGCATGCTGAAATTTAAAGTAAAAATGCTCTGTCCATTAGAAATGTTAGTGGGACACATTCTTCAGACATCAATTCATTAAATTTGGCCTCGTACCAGATTAAGCTAAGCTGAAGGAAGATAAATAGAAAGATATGAAGAGAATGAGATAGATAGATAGATAGATAGATAATTAACTGACTGGGATCAACAGATCTCTCTCTCTCTCTCTCTCTCTCTCTCTACATATATATATATATATATATATATATATATATATATATATATATATATATAAAGAGAGAGAGAGAGAGAGAGAGAGAGAGAGAGAGAGAGAGAGAGGACAGACAGGGCCATAGAGAGAATGAGCGAGACAGAAAGACAGAGAGACAGACATACAGATAGATAGATAGATAGATAGATAGATGTCAGAAGAAATTTAGATGTTGAAAACATTCACTCTTTCTTTTCCTCTCTGCATTTCTCTGTATATCGCATTGCTTATCTTTTTAAATTGATTGAGAGGGAGAGAGAGAGAGAAGAACAGATAGATAATGAATTTAAATGAATATTCTACAAAGAAACACCTCACTGCATTTATCTCCCTCTCTTTCTCTCTCCCCCTCATTCTCTCTCTCTTTCCCTCGAACTTCATCTTATTTATTTACTTGGTTTCTCTCTCTATTTCTTACTTCATGTCTTTAACTGTCCCTCTTTCTCTCTTCATCTCTTCTTTCTTTCCTCTCACTCACCCTCTCTCAACTTAAATCTCTTTCCTTCTGTTTCCCCACGTCCGCAGGCGTTTCGACTCCATTTTACACTAACTTATAAGCAAAACTTTGATTTCAGGTTAACAAGGAATAATATGCGACCAGACTTTGATAATTACAACTTGAGGAGGAAGACAAAGAGAAAAGCTAATGCAAATAAATGGAGGAAAACTTCGAAACTTTTTTTTTAATTATTTAAATATTTGTTCACAGATTTATTTGGCTACATCTCTGGTATTTCCACATCCTCCCAGAATTCATCATCATTCTTTGCGACGAACTGGTCTAAGAAGTTTTTTTTTTAAACTTTTAAAAAAGTTCTTCAAATTGTGAGAATTTTGAAAGAGTGAAATAAGTGGTAATCCCAAGTTGCAAAGCTAAGGCAAGTGTGGCGTAAATCCAACAGAGACTGCACCAATTTCTGCTCGGTCTGCAAAGGGGGTTACGGCCATATCACGTTGAAACATCGCTTCCCGTACGATCACCGAAGTTAAACAACGTCCAACCTGCACAGTATCTAGATGGGTGAACACTTGGGAATATCAGGTGCTGTAAGCTTTGATGTGCCGTCAATTTATTGGATAATGTTTCGAAATTATTAATCGGAGAGCCGAGTACATATCCAATTGTCATAATACAGCGCCTGATCTTACAAAAGGAACTCGTACACAATACTGATACTCTCCTACCAGATAGTCGGCATCGCGTACATTGGATGCACACCGGCGTTGCGTTTTCACCACTTTTTCTCTCCACATTGTTGTAAACAAATCACTTTTCATCGCCTGTGCTCGTTCTCTTCATAAATGGATCGTTTTAACACATTTGACTTGAAATTACTGATGGAAATAAAGCCTGAAATTTTTTTCTGTTAAAATGTAAAGGACTCAAACATCGTAGCGAATGTATCCCGTATGAGATGTCCCATGTCGATTGACATGACTTATTTTTTAATCAGAGTTTCGATTTGGTCATCATCAATGACAACAGGTCTGCCTGAACATTCCTGATCTTCAACTTCACAATCTACACAAGATTCATATAGGAAGATACGTTGAAATGTCGCATTTAGAATATGAGTATAGGTAATAAATTTAGTCTCACTTTCAAATCTCTTCAAAATTGATTGGACTTGGAGCAACAAAAATGTGGTTCTACAGAAGGATGCTGAGGATACCATAGGCCGACCATGTGAGAAACGACGAAATTTTAGAGAAAATGGAAATAAACAGGAAACTTATACTTCACAAAAACAGTGAAAATTTCTAGGGAACATAATGAAGAAAGAGGGCTTAGAAAATCTGATACTCACAGGAAATATGGAAGGCAAGATGGACAGATGAAAACAACGAATAACCTACCTAGCAAGAGTGAATGAATGGTGGGAAAATGTTTAGGGGTGATAGCTAGATGACAAAATTTATTAAGAGCTTGAAAGTACAGGAAATTGGGGAGAACCATAATCGCCTACGCACGTATACGGCACATTAAGTCGAGAATTCTATCTTTTCTCTTAAAAGGAAATCTTTAGGATTTTCTTCAGTATACTTAAATGGCTAACATCACTAGTTCGACACTTCATGACTATTAGGTATTGTTTCTGTGTTTAACAGCGAGAAAATGTAAGTGCTGATAAAAGGCGCAGTTGTAGTGAAATATTGTGCACGGTTTTATAAAGGCATGCCTTACAGCTGAGAAAGAATTATGATGGCAAGCAAGCATTTTATACAAATATTTTTTCTGTTCTCTTTTCAAGAGTCTTATCTATTGGTCGATCCTGATCCTTATTTTCTCGACATCTTATGTTTCTCATAGATATTCGCTTTCGCGGGCGAGTGCGCACACTCTTTCTCGCGCAGGCACACAAAAACTGAAACTTACATTTTTCAGAGGGCATAATGACAAAAAGATATTTATCTGTACTCAGAAAATATGCAAAGAAAGGCAACCAATCAAATACACACACACTATATATATATATATATATATATATATATATATATATATATATATATATATATATATATTGATTGATTGCGACGTCTTGTCAGACGAATGCCACTCCTTTATTGACTGATAGTCCGTGAATCGTTGGTGACATTTCATTCCTGCTAGCGACCTGAACATCTTGGAGCAGATTTAGTACTCATGACCATTGGCGTTGGTTGAGACGACAGGGACGGTATAGGCATCACTGTGAACTTTCATGCGATATTTGAGACCACCAGCTGATCGGCAAACTCTAGAGAAAGTTTCCATCCTGGGACTCTATGAAGTTGAGTATATATATATATATATATATATATATATATATATATATATATATATATATATATATATATATTTTCTAGAATAAAGCTCTAAAAGATAGTGGCTCCAAAAGCCCAAAACTAACTTATATAAAAAAGGCAAATGGAAAGCATAAGAAAAACAGAAGCAAAAAAATAATTTCGTATACACGCCCCCTATACAAGCAAATGGTAAAGAATATATTAGGACAAAAATTCCTTGCATTAATCGTTAAACATTTTCCTAAAGATAGTAAACAAAGTACTCTTTTCAATAAAAATACACTACAATTAAGTTACAGCTGTACTGAAAACTTAACTTTAAAAAAATATTATTATTATTTTATGCTAATATCTTGAATAAACACTTAGACCAAAACCAAAGAAATTTAGACAATATAAAAATAAAAAAGAGATGAAAATAAACAAAAATTAAGTAGCTGTAGAAATCCTCATAACTGTCCTCTACAAAATAAATGTCGCACGGAATCAATAGTATACCAATGTAATATCTCATCTATTGAGAATTCCGAAAACAAAAATCTATATAGGTTGTACAAGCCATAAGTTCAAAAAAAAGATTCAATCAACATCAAAAAAGAAAAATACACCCCTACCATACCTGGACTTAACCTCTTTTTCGAACTTAACTCATAACTGATACAATAATAGTTAATAAAAACGAACACGCTACCGCCTCTGTTTAAATGATTGGATTTCCCTGTATCCTTGGAAACAAATATATGAATTGTATGTGTTTAAAACGCAGTAAATTTTTAAAAAAGGTATTCCAAAATTCTCTTGAAGTTAAAACAGAACTAATGCTTTTAATTTAATTATATAATTAAATTTGAAGTTTTCAGCTTCGGTTTTTGAAACATGGTAATTCCTGTGTAGAGAAAGAACCATAGTTTTAAATCAGTTAATTTATAATATATATATTACTCTATCCTATGCAACATACATGACTATAAAAATGTTAAAAGCCAAAAACATAAAAAACAGTTAAATTCATAACCTAAAAACATATAATACATAAATTAATAGTATGCTAAAATAATTTAAGCTAGAATGGATAAATATAAATTTTTAGATAATTATAACAGATCGCATTCACGCGTGTTGTTTTTATAAATCACCATCATAAAGATCACTCTTACAATAAGATAACCTTTGTAATAACTCGGCAAGAAAAAACTACGGAGCCATGTTTGATGAATATCATCGTAATAACAAGAAACTGATTACAGAACGAGAAAGGATTATTATAAAAATAAACAGATATAATATATCTTATATTATTCAAAGAAACCTGTTGGAATGAAGATATGCAGCATATATATATATATATATATATATATATATATATATATATATATATATATATATATATATATATATATATATATATATATGAAGATATATATATATATATATATATATATATATATATATATATATATATATATATATATATATATATATATATATATAAGTCTGTTGGTATATAATCAAAGTGGATCCTAGTAATATAAAATATTAAAACTGATACACTAACAAGAGCTCAATGTATTTATTATTACAGAGCAATATAATTAGTAAACAAAAACTCCAAAATCACTTCAAATTGAGTTTGGGTAGACGAAGATAACGGTCGTCTGTTTAATCAACCCCGGTGTGGACTGAGTTCGTGTCAGAAATAGAAATTTAACTTTGAAGGTATATATATATATATATATATATATATATATATATATATATATATATATATGTATATATATATAAAATGTTGGTTATTTTTTTATTAGTTATATATTGTTCATCTGCTTAGATTTCTGTCAGATCAGGCGAAACTGTTTACTAAATATCTTTATGTTAGCGATAAACGTTGCTTAATCATTTTGTTTTCTCTATTTGAAAGCTTGATGTTTCATCCCCAGTGGTAATCTCGTAAATTGCAGCCTTGTGCTAGACAAAGCTTGGTTGAATAATTAATTTTGAAACGGATATCTATATCAGATGATCTTCGGTCGCGCTCCAAATAACAGCAGCAGCCTTTTACTGTTCAATTTGGAGCTTCATTTCATTTGTGACGTCAATTAACAACTTCGCCCTCGATCACGACGTCAATTTATAGTTTTGTCAATAAGTCTCTTTTGATTATTGCTTATCACGCAGCCAGGGATTTTGAAATTATTTCTAATCACTCTTAGACATGCTTATTTTTTGATCACAGAGACAAATGCTAAGTCGAGGCATCGGATCTGAATTTAATCTATACTAGTTTGATCATGACGTCATTTTGTTATCATATAAAACTTACTATGATTATGATTTACACATGTGTCTGTTTATGTTTCACATGTGACTGTTTAAATATATTCTTCAATTCTTATATTAATAATACTAATAATCTTATAAATATAAGCAGCTATACTCGTCCGGCAAAACCTTAGGTGTTTTGCCTTGTGAATGAACAAACTAATACCCAAGAGTAAAAAAGGGTAAAAAAAGAAAGAACTAAGAACGTGTACTTCCGGCTAAAATAATCGTCTAGAATCTAAGTTCAGAGTCCAAAGAAAAAAAACCTCCGACACGAGTAAAGTAAAAATAACTAAACAAAGTTCTCAATACGCTAAGTAGAGCAAAATAAGTAAACCTAAAGAGCCAGACAAACCTACCTAGGTTTCACCTACGCGGATCGTCAGGGTGAACTGGCCATGTCTCTTTAGGTTTTCTTATATTAATATGTAGAATTAATGGGTCCATTACTTCATAACAACAGAAAACAGAACCCCCACTTGAAATTTTAACGCCTACAAATCAAAACTGCATTCGTTTAGTCACCACAGAGAACCTTTTCAGCCTTCCATCAACATGGCTGATGCTAGACTCCAGGAGAGCAAAGCATTGCGCCATCTTGGGCTCAGGTTTTCCACTGAAACAAAGTGAAGCGACGTTATTGTATCAATTGCTAAGTCTACTTCTAGGAAATTTGGGTCACTGTCTTCTGCCAGGAAATGTTTCTCATAATTTCTCCTCAGAATCCATCTTGCACATTTATAAATCTACCATTTGTCAGTTCATTGAACACTGCTACCATATCTGGTCTGTTGTCACTGCTGTACATATCGAAGTATGTAATGTAATCGATCCTGATCGATGTACATATCGAGGTTTGTAAAAGTAATCGATTCTGACATGGCATCTCGACGTCAATGACTACAAATATTTTCATAGCATCTTTTCTGATAACCTTTTTTTCCAA